GACCAATCAACTAGCTATTTGTCTTGCAATCTAATAGAATGCATCTTCCTTCTCCAACTACTTACTACCTGAAAAAAAGTGCATAAATTTGAGTGCTCGCGAAGAAGGTCGCCATTGTACACTTAAGACGGCACACGCAGAAAGAGGAAACGGAAAACATCTATTTGTAGCTTTTTCGGTAAAGAGTGACAAGCAAAACAGTACGCTAGTCCAATTCATCAACTCCCACATATCCTAGTTCACTCTCCAAAGCGATGGGGGTTTCGGACCAGCAGCGACAAACAGTCGCAGCGATGCAGGAGCAGCCTGAGAAAGGCACAGGTTCGATGCATTTACAGAGTGCGTTGGCACCGCACTCGCATTTGACTTCGCCAAGGCGCGGCGATGGGAACCTGAGACCAGCCCAAAGAGTGCTCTCGCAAATCTGGCTCTCGTCCTTCTCGGGGAATAGATATGCTTCAATGCTTTGACGCTCTTCGTCGAATGAAGCAGGCGGTTCGAATTGGATCTCGCTGCACGTTGGACACGTAAAGCCTAGATTGAAAGCCAGTCGGCAGCAGACAGCGCAAAACGAATGTTCGCATGAAAGTCTACGACTAATGTCAGCTAGTTGTTGCACAGACGAAAACGAATGATAACTCACACGACCGAATGAGATTTGACGTGGGAGCAAATAGAACAAACATGTGCGTCGGCAAGGCCGGGACGGCCGCGAATATGCTCAGGCGGGGCCTCGAAACCGGCGACATAGAGGCAGGCCCGAGAAACCTGCACAGCGTAGGGAGTATGTTGGCCCCAGGACGCGTCTACGTAGTGAACACCGAGGTCGACGAGGGCCTGAAGGGCCGTTGACTTGCTGACAGGGATGACGAGGGTCGGATTCGAGTCGGGATGAAGGTTCACATATCGGTAATTTTGTAGTTGCTCCCAGAGGACGGTAGCCATGCGATCCACAACGGTCGACATCTTGCGACGAATTTTTTGAGGGACATCGAATCGAATGTATGACGACAACATATCAACTAGAGGGGAAGTCAATAACTTTGTGTGGGATCGAGAGAGGACCTTTGACCTGGCGATCTGTACACTCGTGCAGCGACAAGTTGAGGGTAACTACGGCGAGCGCGGTCTGGAACCCCCGAATGCGTACAGAGCATAACCGCGGACCGTCCTCTTCGTCATATCCTTGTTGAAGCGCGCCTGAAGAAAGCCCTTCATTTCCTTGAGGGGGACTAGAATGTGAAACAAATGAATCAATTGGAGGGTGTCGCCAACGGTTAAAGCTAAACGACGCTCACTTGCTTTGAGTTGCGCCAAAAGCAGCTGACCTGCGAAGCGCTCAGTCGGGAGGTTGAACAGCCAAAGGGAACTTACTTTTGCGTTTAAGTGCCTCGGGTTCGAGTGGCGACTCCTTGAGTAACAAGCCAACATTCGGGGCAGAACGGGTCCGAGCCGTGGCATGATCATCCTCGTTTTTGCGCTTTCCTGGAAGTCCCAAAAGATAAGGATGACTTGTCATGGAATGCGATCAAGCAAACCTACGGCCTGCGGAAGCTTGGGAGCTGTTGCCGACGAGTGCAGGGGCTACCTCCTGGTCCGAATCTTGACTAAGGTCGATGAAAATTCGGTTTGAAGGCTCGAGTTGCCCGGTTTGGGTCGACGCCGGCGGTCCCGGCCCAGGCTGGGTGACGGTGGCCTGACAAAGAGTTGGGGACTCGGACATGAACAACGGACGCGAAGAGAGTCTGGGTGTGACGTCTAAGTATGAAAAATGGGATGAAGGAAAATAACTCACGAGAGGTCGGCCGATCGTGCGCTAGGCCTAAAACATCAAGTCTTGATACTCGGCCGAGAGTGTCGGGGGCCGAATCACTGGAAATAGTATAAAGCTGGCCAGATCTTTCACTAGTATCAGCCATTGAACTCTTCGACGCGATATCATGTCCGTTTTGAGACCAGGTATTTTTCCTTTTGTCAATTCGCCCGGAAAAAAACTAATGAATGACAGAATCAGACGGAGACGCAGCACGTGAATCTCACCACCGACAGATTAGGAGCCTACTTCATCCGCGTGTGCCTCGCCTTCTTAGCGTCGCAATGCGACCGGGTGAAATGCAACCGGGTGAGAGGATGTATCCGACCAGGGCGTGGTCAGCCCTGACGGCGATAACCATTTCCTACGACATAGCGTGTCAATGGCACCACAATCTAAAGCGGCTCATTCCGGCGATGCACACTGCTAACCACGCAAATGCTTACGCAAATACTTTGGCGTGGAACCGAGGCGATGGGGAGAGCGTTGAGCAATGGGGGATAACTCGGTCTGCGGAAACTAACGGTGTGTAATTACTCATCGCAAATTGTGAAGGACTCACCTTTTTTGCTTTTACAGCCCTTCGTGCTCGACTCTGATTACTCGGTACACTCGGATCTTGATCGTACACTTGGCGGGAATAATTCTGGTCGTTCTGTTAGAAAAAAAAAAAAAACTTCTTCCCCTGCAGACGTCAGATGTATTAGATACTTCCTTGTGCACGTCAGATGGAATGTGCACGTCAGATGGAATTTACCGTGAATTTCGGGGACTTGCGCCTGAAGAACTTTTACAGCCCTTCGTGCTCGACTCTGATTACTCGGTACACTCGGATCTTGATCGTACACTTGGCGGGAATAATTCTGGTCGTTCTGTTAGAAAAAGAAACTTCTTCCCCTGCGCACGTCAGATGGAAATATTGTACCTTGCGTGTGAGGAAAGACTTTCGCATCGTGGTCCGTGAATTGTCCGTGAATTTCTGACATGCGCGTGAAGTTTTCTTGTGCGTGTTGCTCCATTCCATATGTTGCGAAGAGCCGAGTTTGAGGATGCCCGTATCTACAAGGATCAGGCGCAGATTGATGTGAAGCGGACGACAGAGGAGAGGAGGGCCATCCTGACTATAGTAATGCTTGACTTCTTAGTGGATTACCAGAGCCTACCTTTGTAAATAGTTCAAGGTGTCGGGCGAGCCAACCTCAAGGCCCACTGTGAAGCTGGGCGGGAGATCGATGAGGAGGAGATCGATGTCAGACTCATTGTGACAGCGGGCGGTGACACGCGCTGATGCCAAGCATATCCGGCACGGTTTCCTCTGCCTAACGACGTCACCAGAGGCCCCAAGGCCCCTCTTGCCTGCTAGTCAAGCTCGTGTGTCAAGTTTGAGTCAAGCTATGGTACGACAACTGCATTCTCACTCATCATCATCTAACTATGGCTAGGACTCGTGGCGCGTTTTATGTCGGCGACGACTCCGCTGGCAACTTCGAAGCCGATGAGGGGTACGATTTCAGTTGGGACGGAGCTCGCACCCGACGGCGTCTATACAACGTCGAACCCGCAAGACCCGTAGGTCCAGCAGCAACAGCCAACTCGGTTGCAAAGGACCAATACAGCGAGTGGACGGGCTTGGTGGAGGAAGATGTTGGGACAATCACAGCCGTTGCGGACACGCTGTCGACTTTGGTTTGGGACCTCAACGACGACGAGAACTCGAAAAAGCGCCAACGCTACATCAGTTCGGTGCGCTGTCTGTCCTTGCTCATGGATAGTCGCTGATATTCGTCCCAAGGACAATCCCAATCTACTTTGGCGGCCGCTAATGGACTTTTACCTGAGTGCATTGTTGCGGCACGATGGACTGGGTCATTATACTCGGAAGCTGGAATGCTGTCTCTGTCATCAAGGAGGTGATAGTGTTTCGCTATTTCGCTGCGAAGACTGCGGCGAGTTCATCCAATGCGAAACCTGTGTTAGAGAACGACACAACCTAACACCTCTTCACGTTTTGCGGGTGAGTCTGTACTTGGTCTTCTCGTTAACGTCGTTCTCATTGAATCCCCCAGAAATGGAGCGGGGAATTCTGGACCGAGGCTTCTTTACATCGCTCGACCTCTGGCGTTGGCGAAGGCTTGAATATGATCTACCAGCTCGGTCACCATGGCTTTCCATGCCCTTTCCCCGATCCCCTCATTCGCCGTATGGTCGTGCTGGACGTTCGAGGCGTCTTCACCCTCAACGTCCAGTTCTGCGATTGTACGAAGTATCGTCAAGAAACCCACAGCCACATCGCCCAGCTGCTTGAAAACGCCTGGTATCCCGCTACGACAATTAGCCCAGCGACCTGTGCGACATTCCGCGTTCTCGAAAGGTTTCGTCTACTCTCAGTGGTCGGCAACGCCAATGCCCATGATTACGTCGGAACATTGGAGAGATGTCTCGATCCCACGACTCTTGGGACTACTCCTGTGAGTGCAACTCTCCAGAGCTAATGTAAAGCGGGCTCATTAACTCAAGGATCGTTATAAGGCGTTCAGTCGCATGTCGCGCCAGTACAATATGCTGAAACGTCTAAAGCGGGCTGGGCGCGGATATGATGTAGACGGGGTACAAGGTACCGCTCCAGGGGCCCTTGCGGTTCGTTGTTGGGCTTGTCCAATACCGAAATTCAATCTACCTCAAGGTTGGGAGAATCGACCCATGAATCAGCGGTGAGTGTTTCATCGATTGCTCGGAGGGATTGTTAATTGGGAGTAGGTATCTGGACTCCTTGGTCTTGGCGATAGATGCCAATTTTCGACTGAAGAATCGCATTCGTGTAAACGAACGGCACGATCCCTCCTTTGGACCAGGGTGGAGCTATTTCGTCGAAACAGAGTCTTATAAGGAACATCTACGAAACTATGTCGCCGAGGAAGACGTCAGCTCGTGCATTGCATTTGCAGCGCTCGTCCAGAAAGACACCCGTCTCACTACTGGTCTCCGCGTCTCGGGCGTGGGAGGCTGTGTATGCGCGCGCCACGGACTTGTCTTGCCGATGGGGTTAGGAGATTTACAGAAGGGCGAACGGCAAGTCGTTTCTAATGTCAACAACGCCAAAACCTGACGATACACAGATATTCTAACATGGATTGGGTCTTGTTATCGGCACTAGGCGTCGTCTCCGTAAAACGTTTGGTGCTGTCCTATGATATTGCTTGTCAATGGCAGCAGCATCTGCTCTCGAGGGCCAAAAGTTATCGCGAAGGATAATCCGACCATCACCACCGACCTTCATCAATACGACATAGACTTTGCGCTGCCCGTTTGGCATGCTGTCGTTCACGAGCCGACTTGTCAGGCGAAATACTCCCTCAGTTATCTCAGAGGTGTGGGACGGACGGACGGGGAGGGGATAGAGCGAACATGGTCCATCCTCAACCCAATTTCCTTTGCGACGAAGGAAATGGGAGAAGGGAATCGACATGACACGATTGACGACAAGCTCGACCACATCAATTTCGAGAAGAATATGCTTCAAGGTATGTCATGATATCCAGCATCGATATATCTTGGCCCTAATACCGGGAATTTCCAGGTCAAAGCCTCTGTCGCAAGCTTATCGTTGCTATTGCCGAGTGCGACAGGCAGACACAACAATTCATTGAGATGGACGAGAGCCTCAACGAGGAGTGCCGCGAACGCTGGAGAGCTGTCGTCGACAAATGGGAATTGGACAAAACACAACCGAATCCATATCTAATGCAAAACGGAAAGCTCGGTAGGCGTCTCGTTTAATCATCGAGTATTACACTAATATGATCATAGCGGGACCTTCAGAATCTCAGATTATGGCGGAGTTACGAAAGGAGGAGCTGACGGAGCTACGAGAAGGGCGAGCGGTAGTCGAAGGAAAGATGACGGCTGCGTCGTTCGTGAAGGCAAAGCTTCAACTGGAGGCATTACAGTAAGTCAAATATCTTCCCTGATAGATCATCGACTGATGTACGGTCGCCCCAGACGCCGCATTGAAGGGGAAACGAAGGGAAAGGCGCTTACGGCGGACCGGCGGAGTCAACTTCGACGAACTCCGCATATCTTTTTTCAAAAAACTACGAACTGTGCAGAAGCTGGAGGAAACTTTCATGCCCGGGGTGCTGGATATCCGACAAGAAGAGGAGGAATTACGCGACCCCGATATCCCTGCACCGAGCGCAGAGCACGTCCGGTTGTGGCTGCCGTCCGATCTGTCGTCTGAGGAACGGAAGACTGTGTCGGTACCTGGCCTAGATAAGATCGAGGCCAGGCTTCGTCCACGGTCAATGTACCGATGCTTTGGCTGCTTTACGAGGACGAATCCATGCCATGACTCATCTCATCCTATTCCGGAACTCTCAAGTTGTGGGGCAGAAGCGGAGTACAAGGTCAAATATGGCGGTCGCAAGGATGGCGGAGCGTAAGCACGCCGATGCTGCTAAATATCGACAAGCGTGGCGGGCAATGCGGACGCTGGTCGGACCTACCTACGCACCAGAGTTACGGGAGTTGCAGGATGCGGACTTAAATGACCGTACGGAAGTCGAAGAAGATGCAGAGGCACGAGCACGATTAGGGCAAATAGGCAGCACCCGCCGTGTGAGGACGGAACCATCGCTCAGTCGAACGACTTCCGCAGTCTCGTGGATTTGGTTTGTGGGCGGTCATGTCGATGCGGGGGAGATACACGATGGTATGTTCAGTGTATATAGCGGGAGCCTTGCTGAATGTCATATCAGGTGTACGGGTTCAATGGGCGAAGGCGCTGGCGCGGAGGGATCGGTGGACGGAGGAGGTGGCTATGTTACGGGAGGAGATGAAGCGCGTTTTGCGAAGCTTGAAAAGTGTGCAAGCTGCTTGGCAGAGTCGCGCTGACGCAGTGATGACGGGAGATTTGGGAGCAGCGGCAATGTCGGGATTGAGGGGGTATGCGCTGAGGCAGGTGGCAGTACACAAGCGCGTCGCAAACAGTTTTTTTCGCAACGTGGAATGTGTCGGCGGCGCAGGCAGTGAAGATGGTCATGCGAGAAGATGGCAGTGTGTATCAGGAGTTACTCGAAGGGACAGAACAGGCTGGATAACTGCTAAAATGGGAATAAATGTGCGGAAATTTTGTCTTAGTTATGGAATGCACCGGATGAGGCCGAGATTTGTGTGTATTCAGCGAAATGTCCGAAACCTGGACGAAATAGGTGTGGTTTTGATGGATGAATGTTGATCATCACATGCTTAGATCGGCTGCCAACAATCTGGCCTGCCGATCAGTGATTAACGGGCGGCAGACAGCGGGTAACGGGGGGGTGGGAGCATCTTTTGTAAAGTGTCTAACTCCAGCCGGTGGCCAAGCTGGAGTTGGTGTATTTTACACACTAACGCCTGGCTGCAGTGGACACTTTACGCAAAGGGCTACAGCCATGGGTGACGAATTGAAGTGGATTACACACCTTATCCCTACCTTACATGCCGCTACGCTGTCGGCGGCAAGGCGACCAACCACTTCCCAGCACTTGGGCTGTCTGAATACGACCCGAAAGACCCCGCATATCCGGAAGAGTGGGCCGCCCTCGAGTTTAACTTGGACAATAGAAAGGGAAACAAGTGGATGCGCTTGGAGGGCTTTAGACCCCACATGAACCCACGGCAGCAGCAGTTTGCCGATGCAGTGTTGGACTTGCAGAGTTATGTATTCAAGTAGTGTATTTATTATATGAATTTATGGTTATGTCGATATGTTTCAAGTTGGGCCCTGCTGACTGGCGCGCGTCATGGAGTGATCGTGTTCTTGAGCATGCGACGTGCCTACCTCCGTGACCGCGACGCGGAGTGATCGCGTTCGATGGCCCAGCCCTTGCACGTGACCCGCGTCTAGCGCGTCGACTCAACTGAGTAATCGAAACACATCTGTAATTAAGTACAGTTAATACACGCGTGCTTGAAATTGTTTTAGTCAGTACCAGTAGTTCAAGTCACGCCAACTTGTTATAACGAGGCGCAACACAGTTTTTTTTCCCCTCATGACATTGACAAGCTATGTGCTTCACGAGTACACACGTACCCGTGACCGCGACGCGGAATGATCGCGTGTGATGGCCTAGACTCTACACATGACCGCGTGTAGTGCGTCAACTTCAGTCATCTCAATAAGTCGAGACGCGTGTATAACGTGTCAACACGCGTCTGACGCATTGCACTGCTGTACTGTGGGGTAGTAAGTACTGTGTCATCCACGCATAAGGCGCGCTGACTTGTTATAAGTGAGCGCGCATCATGGATGCATCCATGCGCCTGAAAAGGAAGGGCATGGATGCATCCATGACCGTGATGCAATGGATGCATCCATGCCCCGTGGGTTGACCCAAGCTTGATTTGGGGGAGACATGGATGCATCCATGCGGTGTGGGTCGATCCATACGCGTTTGGAGGCGGGCCATGGATGCATCTATGACTTATGGATGGACCCATGCCTCGACACGTGTGACGCGTGGATGCATCCATTGATGGTTTGACCTGTGACCGTGGATACATCCATGGGTGGGTTCAATACCATCTATGGATGCATCCATAGATGGTATTGTCAAGCCGATTGGCATGTTTGACTTGGGCTCAGTATGGATGGACCCATGGTCCCTGGGAGACAGGACCGTGGATGCATCCATCGGTGGGTTCAATACCATCTATGGATGCATCCATGGACAGGTCTGGACCAACCATGGGTCCATCCATACTGAGCCCAAGTCGAACATGCCGATCGGCTTGATGGCATCATTGATGGCCAATCAATCGCCCCAGCGCGCAACGCCAGGCCAGGGCCCTAGGGTGGGGCTACATGGAGGTCAACTTGGCATGTATGATAGACTACCTGTACAGTACCTACTGTCTGTATAGAGTGCTTGGAGTATCATACAGTGCAAAGCTCAAAAAATCAAAAAATATTCAAAGGTCCATGATCTGGCCACCAATTGCCTAGGCAGTGACACCATCTTGGAGGGAATGCCCTGGCGATTTTTTGGGTGCAAAAAGGAGGTGCTAGAAGGGTAATCAGAGGCCAAGGAAAGCCATTTTGACAAAAAAAAAAAAAAAAAAAAAAAATGGACTTGAACCGAACACTTCCCCGTCACTAGGTGGTCAGATCAAAGGAAGTGAGAAAGCACTTACCGACTAGTCCAAGCATTGTATTTTTTAGGTGCTTTGGCGTCGAGCTACAAGCCATTCACCCGCCAGCCCAATTAGGAAAACAGCCCTGGGTCCATCCAAGGGGGTTGGATAGACCCAGGGCTAAAATATGCGTGACACCCATGAGCCCATCCATGATTGTGGATGGACCCAAGCACCATGGTATCAGACCATGGTCTGACACCCTCTTAGGTACTGGGTTCCACCGGGAATCTGAAGCCTCCTAGGGTAGGGTTATAGGTAGCCCGAGGTGTCTCTAGGGGTCATAGTTGGGCCATCAAGCAAATTTCTAGGTAGCTAAGTTATAATAATATATTTGAATATATTCATATCATATCTAATATCTGTGGCTGAGTTGAAATATAATATACTACCAATAGACAAAATTATGTTTCTCAATAGGCGTTGCTTTGGCCTTTGACCATCGGTCATTTATATCTCTGAGAATCACCCCCCAGGTGCTGACCAGGTGAGCATTGTGAATTCTGAACTAAACAGTGGATGCTATTTCCTACAAGCACCTGTGCAGCACACTAGACAATGCAGGCCACCCCAGCCCACAAGCATGCACGGCGCACACGCCACCGCCGTAAACCAGCCGAGTACGTTCGACTTTTGCGTTGCCTCACAGTAGCACGTGATCGCGTCGAGCGCGACGCGCCGGTCCATGTCGTCGTCTCCGAGTCCGTGCGTGTACGGGTAGGGATACGGCTCCCGCTGCGAGTTGAAGCACGGCTGCGGGCAGAAATGCGCCGGGAGCTGGCAGCAGCAGCAGTTGATCGTGAGCGTGCAGCACCCAGGGTGGTCCCGCTCGTCGAGGAGCGCGTCGTCCAGCCCCCCCGGGTTGTAGGGTTCAGAGCACATGATGCTCGCCGCGTGGCAGCAGAAGTCGCAGAGACAGATCGGCGTGCGCAGCGGGCACGTGAGCGCGCGCGTGGTCTGCGCGAGCACTTTGGCAGGGCGGGACGGCGGAGGCTTGGCGCGGACGCTGGAGAGCTGCAGCGGGGGAATGGGTGCCGGCTCTGTGGCGTGTTGGCATCAGGAGCGCCGGCCGTTGGAACGGGAACGAGCACGCACGTGTTGTCACAGGCACATCTTGTGGCAGATTGCTTGCAGATGATCTCCACGAGCCTGCGGACATCGTCGGAGCATCACCCGGTCGCGTCGTCGCGCTCTTTATAAACAATGTCGGCAAACGCAATGTGATTGGCAGATTGCCATAGGAAGCCTCCGGCGCGCGATAGATGAGCGCTGATCGGCAGTCGTCAGGAGCTTCAATCCGTCTTAGCAACAGATAAAAGCAATCACGCTCTCCTCAAAACCCCCCAACCATCCAGAGAGCCTCTTCATTCAATGCTCCATGTTTCTTCTACAAAATACAGAATCCAAAAGAAGGACAAGACCTTTCATCTACTCGCCGGCCACACGCGGCGGGGGACGCGGCAGCGGCCGGACCGGGAGGAGCCGTATAACGGGCGCCTCGACGCTCACTGTTACCAGCACCTCCAGCGGCTTCACGGCTGGCTTGGGCTTCGGAGGCTTTGGCGGGGGCGTGGGCGGGAGTGATTCGTGCTTCACATCCATAACCGCGCTCCAAGCTGTGCCCTTCTCTGCGTCCGAGGCCGAGTCAAACTTGAAACTGTCCACCGAGAAGGTTACTGTTGCGGACCTCTGGCGTGTGAGGCCCAGCCGCCCGAACAGCTCCCGCCACTCCGCCCGCGCCTCTGCGCTGAGCCCAAAAAACACGAAAAACACCGCGCTACCGGCAGGCCAGAGCCACCAGAAGAGATACAGCTCCACGAGGTCTTCATGTTCGAAGTCCACGAGATGATACTGCCAGATGTTGCCAAATCCATCATGCACGTCGGCCCACGAGGTCCATGGCTGCAGGCCCTCCTCAGAGAACGCGCTGTATGCAACGTAAGCTACGAACGCGGTCGTGAGTGTGCCTATAAGGAAGGTGATGATAACCAGGCGAACAAAAGACTCGAAAGTCATGGCATACTTGCTGCCAGCGCTGTTGCTGTGGTACTGGATGCGCACGCGGACAGTGCGGTGACGGGTATAAAGTTTGTAGAAGGTACAGGCGGAGTAGACAGGAGAAAGAATGCCGGAGAGGAAGACGGTGAGGTTGAGGATAAGGAGCGACGGCCACGAGAAGTATATCGCGGGTTGGCAACCGATGTCCTCGATAAGGTCAAAACGGTGACCCTGGACGATGATATCTAATAGGTATTTCAACGTTGCTTGGTTGAGGAAGGAAACAAGAGACGCACGAAGAGCCATGACTAGGATTGGCATCCCCCAGCAAAGCCAAATGTCGATGACGCGGTCATATAGACAGCGCTCCGCACCAGAGAGCTCGCCGTATCCAGACACAATCCTGTATAGTCTTCTCGCAAGACACAGGCAGCACCCCGGCAAGCCGACCTCCGCCCCCAGGAGCAGTTTCGTGGCTGCCGTCATCAGTATTATGCGCTGTCACGGAGAGTAGAGACAGACGCACTGATATCGCAATAGACCTTCGCCGGCAGCCCCCGGGGGTCTACATTCCCGTCCCAGACTGCCGCGCTCACCCCCTCTATGAGATTATGCAGCGAAAGCCACACTATTATCGCCAGCGTCGGGAAACTGCGCATCCGCCAGTGGTGCGGGACCGTCAAGAGAAGAAGAATGAGGGCGATAAACGGCGCTGCCGGGAGTGCACTAGGCATGGCGAAAAGGTTGAATGGACGAAGGAAGGCCCAGCCCGCGGGCCTGGAAGGAGCTCAACGAAGGTCGACGGGGCGAGACTCGAGAGCGCGGGCATGCTGATGGGGAAGGCCCTTTTAGCACTGTCCGGCGTCTCCTTGCGACGCACGAACAGACCGGGAAGATGATCAGGAACTGCGAGTGCGAGGAGCTATAAAAACACACCAGGCTGCATTGACGGCGTGAAGACAGATGAAGTCGTATGTTGCGTCGGAGAAAGGGCCCTTCCCAGCAAGGCTCAAACAACGCTATGTAGCCGCTGCTCCTGTATTCAGCCTGAGCTCAGGCTTGGGACGGCGTGAAGAGCGACCACTCACAGCACAGTCAACGCCGAAGATACCCACCGCGAAGATAGACCACAAGCCGGACGGATTGCCGTCCGCCCCATCTCCCAAGGCGCTGTTGATAGCGACGGGGGTCGTGTAAGTGCGGAAATAAGATGCGAAAACGCGGATCCTTGTTGTGACCGTGACTTCCCACGTCTTGACGAAAACCCCCATCTTGCTGGCCAGTGCGGCACGATGGCTGCCCGAACAATGTACACACACGTGCGAGCGCCACCCCACGGCGGCTCTCTACCGCTTCGAGAGTCTTTCTCCGGTTCTGCGAAGGGAGAAAATTTTCAGCACTGCCGCAGCGCAGCCAATCGGAGGCGGCGGAAATGAAATGACGTGCGTCAGCACGCTGACTACAAGCTCCCACGCTCAGACCTCTGGCTCAGAGTAGCTTCCGCCCCTTCCGACGAGCCCCAGACGACGAAGGTGCATGACCATCTGGCTGCGGCGGACATGTCGCCGTTCGGATAACTCGGAACTGGCTGCTTGTGACCCCCAGCGTTGTCAACCTGGCGGAAATCGAAGGGTGGTTCGAGGAAATCCAGTTAGGTTAACGTCAACAGCAAACCGTACTCTTATAAAAACTGGGTGGGCTGGGCCTACCTCGATATCACCCTTGTTCTTACTTCCACATGCAGCTCGTTCTATCCGCCGCTTTCGCACTCGCCCTTGCGGCGTCTTCTGTCTCGGCATTCGCCACTGACTACAAAGGCTCACACAAATTCGTTGCGCCAGGCCCCGGCGACGAACGCAGCCCGTGCCCTGGCCTCAACACGCTGGCAAACCACGGCTACCTTCCGCATAATGGGAAGAACTTCACCGTCAAGACGCTCATGGATGCCTCCTTGAGTGCGTCTTTTGCTTTGCTGTTTTCAAGCATGTGTTAACAAAACAACAACAGAGGGCTTTAACGTTGACTGGGATGCGATTCTCATCGCGGCCAAATTCGGGATGCTTTCAAGGAACGACTTCGGCTCAATTGAGAACATGAGCCTGGGCGCTCTTTCGTTGTAAGCCGTTTTCTCCCTTGAACTAAGTGATTCATGAATGCGACAGGCACAACCTCGTCGAGCACGACGCGTCCATCTCGCGAAACGACTTCGGGGACGGCACCGGTGACCACATCCACTTTAATGAGACAACCTTCTCGGTCATGGCGAATGCGAACCCCGGCGTGGACTACTATAACACGACGTCTGCTGCCGCCGTGCAGTATGCGCGCTTGCAGCATTCGAAGGAGACAAATCCCTTTTTGGTCAACACGAAGAAGGAGTTCGTCCTCCGCAGCCACGAGAACTCGCTGTACCTGAGCATCTTCGGCGACCCGCTCACCGGCATCGCGCCAAAGAAGTGCGTCCTCTCCGCCTCTGGTAAACTAATACTGATACTGATGTGTAATCCAGATTCGTCCAAATCTTCTTCCGCGAAGAGCGCCTCCCCGTGCAAGAGGGCTGGAAGCTCCCCACGACCAAGATCACGGCCGCGACGCTCTCTCCGCTTGACCACGCCATCCGCGACGCGTCGAACTGGACTGAGACATCTGTCTGCGGGCCGGTCGTGCTGTCCCCCACGAGCGTCGTCAACGACGAGCTGCAGGCGCTGCTTGTTCAATGAGGAGGACTTCGTCGCAGCAATTTCTACCATTAGATAATTTCCTTCCGTTCTTGCTCCTTGCTCTCTCCATATTGAATTTAATTCACGTTGTGTTCTTGCTTTCTTCATGAAGCGGTATCCCCGTTTTCACCAGGAGAAAAATTCCACAATCTATTCAGGCATGGTGACATAGTGGAAAAGGTGGACACATTTTATCTTGGAGTGCGAGCCTCGCACTCCAAGATAAAATGGCACTATCGTCAACTCAACGATCTTGGACTGTACGGCCCGGCGGCTCCGACGCCAAGGCAAAAGTATTTCCCGCCTGGGGTTCTGTTATTAATAAGGCTCCAACACTTTCCGTTTGACAAACTTTATAAACGGTTTTAACCCTTTTTATTTCCGTTTTATTTGTGGGGTTGAGCAAATGGTAAATAAAAGAAAACAAAAGGTTTAAAAGGTTACTCAATAAGTACTAAATAATAATCATAATAAGACTGTTAACAAGCCAAATCAATTTTCTCCTCGAGCAATTAGTAAGAACAGAAGACATTCGAGGGCCGAGCCATCCGCTCGGATACCGACTGCGCGTCCGGGTGTGCGGCTCAAAAAGCGAGACTGCGGCTCGGCTGCGCGGGTGTGCGGCTGCCGTCGGCGAACGATAAATTGTAGCGTGACACGACCAGCTGCCATCAATCCCTCTTTTCAAACAACCACCATGGTCTCTCCCGGCGTGCGGTTCCTCTTGCAGACCGTGCTCCCGGTGCTCGCCAGGCCCCTCCTGTTTGGCATCGCCCTTCACCATGGCTCGCGCTTCCTCGACTACGCGCTGCCCTTGTGGGCGACTGCTGTTGTCGCGAGCGCAAGCCTTCCCACGCTCGGCGCACTCAGCATCTGGCGCAAACAGCGTCAACATGCGCGCGAGGCTGCTGCGCTTGGTGCCCGACTCGCACCGCAACCTCAGGGGCGCTGGCTTGGCAATCTCGACTTGCTGCGCCGTCTAATGTGGAACTCACGTTACGGCTATCCGAGTATGTCTTGCCCGGTTCACTGGAATGTATATGCGACTGACGGCGGGCTTGCACAGCGGAGACGATTACGAACTGGATGGCGGAACTGGGGCCGGTGGTTAATGTCAGGATGTTTTGGACGGACGCGATAGTCACGGTGCGCAGTCGCCTTTCTGCTCTGCCGGACTTGACCTGATTTTGGACACAGTCTGACCCTGAGCACATCAAACGCGTTCTTTCGACTGACTTCAGCAACTATGAAAAAGGCCCGCGGTTCCAGAACATTATGCGCAGTGTCCTCGGAGTTGGTCCCCGTCTCGACCCATTCTATTAGCTCATTGGCATGCAGACCGGCGTCTTCAACTCCGACGGCGACATGTGGAAGTTCCATCGGACTATCACCCGCGTTCGTCCTTATATCATCCTCTCTCAATAGCGCGCTTACTCGGAACAGCCGTTTTTCGCTAAAGACCGCATCAGCCACTTCGAAGAGCTCGACAGAAACGCTGAGCTCGTTATTACGACGCTCAAGTCCCGCTCACGCGGGGGCTATGCGGTCGATTTCCAAGACCTTATTGCGCGCTTCACTATGGACTCCGCCACCGAGGTCTGTCTCCCCTACACCACCATACATTATTGACGGAGCTGCAGATGCTGTTTGGCACGTGCGTAAACAGCCTGAAGGCGCCCGTCCCGTACGCACACAACGCCAATGTATTCGGCAGTGAGCGCCCGCCGACAAGCGACGAGAACGCGTTCATCGAGGCGTTCAGCCAGGCTATGGAGCAGGTCGCGCGCCGCGAGCAGCGCGGTCTTCTTGCGCCGCTTGCAGAGATGTGGGAGGACACGACGGCCAAGTCAATGAAGGTCGTCAGTGCGTTTTTGGACCCCATTATCGCGGCGGCGGTCGAGCGGAAGAAGGTTGCAGATGCAATGGGTGGGGAGAAGCGCGAGGCGCAGACGTTGCTGGACGAGCTGTTAAACTCGACTTCTGGTGAGTGTTCACGGAAGCATTGCGCTGTTCGACTTGCTTAAGCGGTGTGTAGATCATACTATCTTGAAGGATGAGACGTTGGTTATTTCATCTCTCAAGTGATCGCTTACTCATTTTGTTATGTTCCAGCTTGAATATTCTTCTGGGTTTGTTTATTCCTGTTGCGGGAATATAAATGCTGACTATATACGTAGCCGGACGCGACACAACCATGCACACCCTCACGATGGTCATGTACTTGTTCGTCTTTCTTCGTCATTCCCTTGCTGTCATCTCATTCAAGTGTGAAGCCTGTGCATCCACCCAGCCGTGAACGAACGCTTGCGCGCCGAAGTTCTGGACCACGTCGGCCCTTCCCGTCAGCCAACCTATGAGGATATCAAGGACATGAAGTACCTCCGCGCGGTGATCAACGGTGTGTCTTCCCTATTCCCATCTGGTAAAAGGATTCTCATGCTTGTATAGAGGCTCTCCGGCTGTACCCTCCTGTGTTGGTTTTGTTTTTCATTACCCCTAGGCCCTGCTGCTCATTTAGCCGCAGTCCATTTAACGTGCGCTCGTCCGTCAACGCAACGACGTGGCCTTCACCCGACCCGAACGAGAAACCGATTTACATCCCTGCTGGCACCAGGTATGTTTTTTTCTATGCGACCAGGTGAACGCAGGAGCTTATCCGCACCAGTATCCCGTACTCGGTGCTCATTATGCAGCGGCGCAAAGATTTGTGGGGGCCTGACGGTGCGCAATATACATCCCATGCGCAATCTCACTGATATTCATTCACAGCGGACGACTTTGACCCGGACCGCTTCCTCGATGCGCGCGTGAAGAAATACCTTCTCTCCAATGCATTCCAGTTCTTGCCTTTCAACGCCGGTCCGCGCATTTGCTTAGGCCAACAGGTAAGCCTTCTTCTGCTGTCTTAATGCTGCCGCTCGACCAGGCCTATCTCTTGCGTAGTTCGCGTACAACGAGATGTCGTTCATGCTGATCCGCCTCCTGCAATCGTTCTCGGGATTCACGCTCGACGAGGAGGCCTGCCCGCCGGCGGCGCGCGTGCCACCGGAGTGGAAAGGCGCGCCGGGACGGAAGGGCATCGAGCGCTTTCGGCCGAAGATGCATTTGACGATGTCGACTCAGGTGAGCGTTTGCGATGGATATGTGCAAATTACTCAATGCACTGGCAGGGAGGACTTTGGATCAGGGTTGCGGAAGCCACAGATTGATCAGTATTCTATTCTCGGCGGTTTGATGGTTTATGCCAGGACAACTGTAATCGTTAATCTCTGCCGTCTCAGACCTCAGGCCCCTACGATAAATTGAATTTTGTGTTCCCAGACTGGACACTTTGTAGCAAGCTAATCAAGAGGTCAAGTCATGAGCTATCCTTCAATGCCTTGGCACTTGCAAGACTATTATGCACTAGGCTGATTTAGAAATTTCCCCTTATGCAAGTTATAGGAGAAAAACAAGAGTAGATCCCAGGACCCAGGAAGTTTATCTACATATGTATTCCTTTGTACAACTAAATTTTTGACACAAAAGACTGAGGAGTAAAACTGCCACATTTGTTTGACATTTGCTCAGCTGGAATGTTTACAAAGGAAACAACAATGAATGATGGATATATCTGAGTAAGGCTCAAGGTGTTTTTCAACATTTTTGCTAGTCAAATGTTTAAAATTCTCAATGAGCAATAATTGTGGCACAGAAGATCAGTTTTTTTTTCAAATGATGCAAGGTAGGGCCGACAAGCGGCGTAGCACAAACTGATTGAAAGTACATAAAAAGTGTCCGATATATACAGCATTGTAGTAGCAATTGGGTCTAAGACCGGCAATTGTGGGTATTTTCAGATTCTAAATTATCCTGGCAGGAGCTTAAGCTTGATTTAATATCCCTTCAAAGCATTGAATCACACCAGGGCTTCTGCCAAAGATTGTTCCCAAAGCAGAACATAATTCTAATGTTTAACAGCTTTAATTGATAATCAAGAAAAGAACACTTAATCTGGTCAAGGAGAACTCAAGTTCTGTATCAGGGCATAAAATCTAGAATATTTGTGAATAATAGATGCATCTAACTTAAGCCTCAATATTTTTTCAAAAAAATATTATTGCCTGAATTCTTTCTCTTTTTTTCTCTCAAAATATATAGATAATAGCCATTTTCCCACTTATCTCCGATATATTGGGTACATTTTGCTGCTGGACCTGCCAGATCTGGTCTTATATTTTGTGGAATATTCCCCGTATTTACTTACTTGCTACAGATTATGGTTAGAAAATGGTCTGTTGATATTAGCTTTGACTCATATCCTATCTGAGAAATTAATATATGATCCCATTACTTGCAAATCAAGTCTACTTTCTTTAAGTTTCATTTTCCATCTGTTCAAGTTATTAAATTGTAAATTGTGATTGTCCCTGGTATGAACTGTATAAGTTGTCCCAAGTACTAGGATTATTTACATTTGTTACCAATAAAATAATATGTCTTGAACATGCATATATGACTTTTGGTTTACCATACTCTGGGAATACTGTGCAAAATATTTACTGGGCAAGCTGTTTTCTTTTGTAAGTATTTTAGTATTTTAAAGCAGGAGTCTCTTTGATGTGACAGTGTGACAGCGGCATGAGTGATGGGGTGGTCGTCACAAATCAGGGCACTTTCAGTTTGGTCACTCCCGGTCGGTATGATTTAAGGTTGGACGGTAAGCGGCATATCACAAAGCAAACTGATTAAAAATACTGACATATCAATTGAATATTGAGCCTTGCATAAATGGTGGCCAGAAGCTCAATCAGTAATAGTGACTTGAAATACTTCCTTACACTGATTGTGTCAAACAAGTAGCAATATTAATGAGACCTGAATGTGCTTATTTCCAGATCTGAAACTACTCTGAAATGGGACTTGTGTAGATTTGTCAGGGGAACCTCCCTTTCGGCCCCTCGGAGACGTCTCCGATTCCGGTCCGATTCCGGTTCCGTCTCCGGTCCGGCCCTCCATCTTGCCTGCACAATCACCGATCCGTCAACGCCCTCCCAACGGTCGCCCTGGGACCTTGCCTGCGACGCCGCCCAAGCTTTCTGTGCCTGACAGCGGCAGCTACGGACAAGCAGTATATAGTCAGCTCCCTAGCAGGCGGACCCTTAGAGTTTCTTCTCTTTGGATCCTCCCCTGCTAGGTCAGCTTCGTTTGTATTTGCTTACCAATGTTCACGCTTTGGATCCTGCTAGGCCTTGATCTCAGGCCTCCAGGGTTGCCCTTACAGTAGAAGAAACTCTCTACGGGATCAACCGGACAAGATTGCCAGGTTCGGCGCTGACTCAGGCTTGGAGTACGAGTCCGTTCCGCCCTCGTCACCGCCTCTGCCACTTGTCCCCTCCTCCTCCACTCCTCTGGTCCCCGCACCCGTCATGCCGTCCGGAGTCACTCCCACCGCAGACGACCGGCTGGACTCACTCGAGGCGAAAATCGATAGCCTAACTGAGGCCCTTGCTTTACTCACCAACCAGGCTTCCGCTGCTGCTGCTGCTGCTAATAATGCTGGCGGACCCCAAATACCATCGCCGGAGACGTCGATTCCGACTCCGACTCCGGTCCAGGGCGATTCCGAAGCCCTCTTTGGCGACATCAACCTCGCCTCAAAATTAGTCTTGCGATTCACCTTCAACGGCGACCGGAAACGCAGCCGCGCGTTCCTCTACGTGGTCCGCACCTACGCCCGCCTTGCCCCTGAGGCCTTCGTGGTCAACGGAGAGGCGAGCGAGGAAAAGGCCGTCCGCTATGCCATGTCGTTCATGGCAGAAGGACCCGCTCAGCAATGGGCGGAGCGCCACGGAAGCAAAGCCCCGTTTCTGTTTCCGTCCTGGGGCTTGTTCGTTTCCGAGTTTCGACTCCGGTTCGTCGAGGAGAACGAGCAAGATCACGCTCTCTCCAAACTGGAGACTTCCGCCTATCACATGGGTACAAAAAATGTCTACCAGTACACTGACGACTTCGAGGACCTGATGGACCTCGCCGGATTCGAAGACGCGTTGGTCAAGGTGACCAAGTTCTGCCACGGACTTGATCCCTTGATCAACAATGGAATCACGTCCTCGAACGACCCCCCGGACCTCCGGGATTACCTCAGCTGGCGCACCCGGGCCTTCCGTCAATACGAGGCCCTGGTCCGGGCCAAGCTGATCAAGTCAGCCGCCCCCAAGACATCTGGCGGTTTGATTCGGACTCCGTTTCCGGTCAACCGCATCCCGGCTCCGGCCCCTTTCCGCCCGGTGGCTCCGGTCGTGCCACCCGCGGCCCGCGCCCCCGCTCCGGCGCCTCCAGCTCCCGTCCCTATGGAGTTGGATCGCACCAGGGCTCGGGGTGCCCCTCGTCGCGCCTGCTTCAGGTGCGGCGACCCAAACCATCTCGCCCGGGATTGCCCCCTCCCCGCCGACGTCCGCTCAATGGACATCCTCGACGAGGTGATCCAACAACTCGGTGACGAGATGTTAGCGGAGTTGATCGCCTGCTACACGAACACAGCTGCCCTGCCGGAGACGGCGGCGGAGTCGATGCCCGGAGAGGATTTTGTCCCCCGCGACGAGTGACTGGTGTGCCCTCGTTCGCGTCCATAAATCGTTTTGCCTCCTTGTATAATGAATGCAGTTCTTTGCCCTACAACGAGCCTGAAACGAAAGATATACCCTCTCCTGCCCCCGCTTCGATTCCGTTTCCGACTCCGCCTGCGACTCCGGTCATTGTCCTTCGTCGCCTCACTGCCTGGGAAAAGAAATTGCCCAAGCAGTACACTGTCGCCGCTACCCCTGGGGCGAACTCCCTCCACCTCCCGTTGGAGCTAGAGTCTCTGGTCTGGTCGATTGTGGTGCCACCTCCGACTTCATCGACACAAATTATGTCGCTCGGAATGGCATTCCGGTCCGCACCCTCGACCAGCCAATTCCGGTTTTCAATGTCGATGGCACTCCCAATGACGCAGGCTCCATCAAACAGATCGCGGACTTGGTCCTGCACTACAAGGGACACGCCGAACGAGTCCAACTGGCCGTCACCCATCTTGGTAAGCAAGACCTCATCCTGGGGTACTCCTGGCTGCGGAAGCATAACCCAGAGATCAATTGAGAAACCAAGGAGGTCAAGATGACACGGTGCCCCCGCGGCTGCTCCACTTGCCGCGAGGAAGAACACGTCGAACGGACTGAGCTGCGGCGACTCCGGTCGCTCCAGAAGCGTCTCCGCTCCGGCCCGTTCCCCTTGGTTTGTGCCATGGACCTCTCCGGCCCCGACGACGGAGACAATTCCGTTTCCGATGGCGATTCCAGTCTGCCTGATCTGACGCCGGACTCCGACGAGGACAAGGACGATGGCCAGCTTGAAGATGGTGACCGCATCTTCTACACCTCGTTCCGCCCCTCAGAGGAGATACATACTGGCAGTACCGTCTCGCAGCGTCTAGCTGAAGCCTTTGCCAGGAACTCTGCCCCTCCGCCCTCTGACATCCCGGACTGGGCTAAGGAGTTCCAGGACGTCTTCAACAAGGAGTCTTTCGACACGCTACCGGAACGGAGAGCCTGGGACCACGCCATCGAACTTGTCCCCGACGCTAAGCCCACCAACTGCAAGGTGTACCCCATCTCGCCCCTCGAGCAACGCGAGCTCGACGCGTTCATCGAGGAAGGGCTTTCGACGGGCCGGATTCGCCCCTCCAAGTCTCCGATGGCGTCTCCGGTCTTCTTCGTCAAGAAGAAGGACGGCGGACTCCGCTTCGTCCAGGACTACCGTGCTCTCAACGCAATGACTGTCAAAAACCGGTACCCCCTTCCGCTGATCAACGACCTCATCAACCGGCTCAAAGGCGCTCGTTACTTCACCAAACTCAACGTCCATTGGGGCTTCAACAACGTCCGGATCAAGGAAGGTGATGAGTGGAAAGCGGCTTTCCGGACTAACCGAGGCCTGTTCGAGCCCTTGGTGATGTATTTCGGCCTGACAAACTCTCCCGCGACGTTCCAAACGATGATGAATGACATTTTCCAGGACCTCATCCTCTCCGGAGACGTCATGATCTACCTTGACGACATCCTGATCGCCCATTCCGACCTCCGGAAACACCGGCAGATCGTCCAGGAGGTCTTACGCCGACTCCGGGAGCATAAGTTGTACCTCCGAGCGGAGAAGTGCGACTTCGAAAAATCGTCAATCGAATACCTCG